CCTTCTGCCCGTTATCAGCACAGACACACGTAAATTAGTAATATTATTAGGCACTAATTGTAAGTTATCAGTGTAAAACAATTCATTTGTTACTCTTCTTGCAGAGAGGTAGTGGAGGGGCAGAGGAGTGTGTTCATTGCACCTGCATTGTTCAGCAAGGAGCTTACACACATATATACTCGCTGGGCCCGGAATGTACACAAGTTAAAAGTTATATCTATGCCCTAATATCAGCACATGGTGAATCCTACAGATTCGCTGTGATTTACCCAGTGACGAGTACTGAGCAACATCACAGCAATGACACTTCCTCTCAGCAAAGCAGATCTGTTTCATGCATGACATTATGCCGAGGGTCATTTCAGTCCTGATTCTTGTAATCCGTTAATTTTATGCAAACCAAATGCTGCTCATCCTACATACGGAATTGCAGTTATGACATTATGACAGACATTGAGTGAATATTAAATCCTAAGTGACAGTGAGTTATCGCATGATCTGTTTGGTGGACAGTTGAGATTCACTCATCTCCTTGCCAAGGCCTTTGTTTCAAACGTGGGCTTTGGACACCTGGAATAAAGATTTTTCAAAAGCAAGCTTTCTGTAGACTCGCGGATATCTGCTTAGGAAAAGATAAATATAGAACTGAGGAAGAATTATCTTTTGTTTGACAGATGGTTGGATGGGAAGTATCGCCACAGCTGTTGGTGGATAAACGTAGAGAATATTCCTCTTTGCAGATTGAAATATCACAAAGAGTTCCAGAAAAAAAATATACTGTTTCATCACAGGAACTTCTCCTTGGCAAAGGAGTTCTGCCTACAGCCCCCGGCTCACGTCTGTCTGCTTTCTGTCTGCACTGAAGGCAGGAATAACTAAACGTGCCCTTTCTCACAGGGATCTAAGTGGCCGCAGTGTGGAGTGTTAACTGCTCCTGATACAGTCAACCTGCCGGAATCGTGGGGAGGGTGTTTTTTTTGTCTCTAAACAAACAGGAACGTTCCCTTGGGACTATATTAGAATACTTCCTGTCCAGGAAGGTAATCCGCTCCCTTCCACATGCACAACTGTTAGTGACCTGTTGACTGATATGAAAATGGACCAGAAGAAGAAACGGGGCCGTGGCTGAGCTGATGTGGGCGTCAGCCTGGCAGCTGATAGCCCTCAGCTCTGCTGACACACTGTCCTGCTCAATGAAGCTTCTATTCATGGGGCAATTCGACTCCTAAGGTGTCACTGGGGAGCTTAAAAAATAACTAAATTCAGCTCTTTTGAGCTTTGGAAGCTATTGAACAAGCCTGGGCTGGTTGATTTGATCAGTCTCTCAGGCGACGTGATATTTTGTGGTTAGGGTTAGCATGGGATTTCCATTTTCCTCCCAGTTTTTACTTATAGTATCATTTAGAATCAAACATTCTCACATATACCAGCCTACACACAGTTGTGGTTAAAAACAAAATGCAACAATAAAATTTAATGCTTGCTGTTACTTTTCAGATTTACCCACAGTTGCTCACACACTGTATATAACATTATGTTTCCATCGGACTTCTTATGGCTCTGATGGTTGAGTGCTTGGGAGTTAATGTGGTCCACTAGGCTGCCGGCTCAGTGTCTGCCGCCTCTAGTGGGTCACGGGGAGGCACCGGCATGCATAAGCATCAAGAGACCTTTGTTGTTGTAAGAGGCCGAGAGGCTTGAGGGAACATGACCTGTGCTGACGACAATCTTTGTGTGAATCAGTTTAACAAGTATGACAGCTGAATGAAAAGAGGAAGAAGCTCCATCAATCACTTTGGGGAGACCCTGCTGTATGGGACGTTGTGGCAGCGCAAATGCCACCAGACTCCTGAGTAATACATGATTAAGTCTCTGTTGGATGGTAATCTCAGGAGTGCCCACAGTCCACATCTCATCTCTATCAGCTCAAATGTCGTCCAGAGGGGGACGGTGCCAACAGCAGTTCATATCGATGGAATAAGAAAGGACACCACAAAAAGCAATTATCCTACAAAGCCTAATTGCAGTTATCATGAGCTACACTACTGAAGCCACAAACTCAGTGATCACAGAGGAGGCTATTTTCTTCTGTAGTTATCTGGATTGGCTATGTTCTGAACACTGGGTTCATAGACTGGGTAAACATTACAGACATCTCCAAATATATCCAACTCATGATAAACATTAATAAAAACCTATGAGCCTACCGATAACATTGAAAGGGAATTCAGCGATTGCTCCTCAGCAAGTACTTAATCTGCTCGTTTTACCCCGTTTTAGATACTAGGGTACACCAGTTATACAAGCTGTACTTCAAGCTCAGCTGGAAAAGAGCGAACAATTTCGAGTAACATGCCTACAGTGGCTACAATGCTGAATGCTGTATAAAGTCAGTTGTCCCAAGGATGTTGAGCTGACAAAGTGTACCTGTCCCCAGAGGAGCCCGATGATGTAATGCACCTACTGTCTGAGGCTGTTAAGGGGAACAGCAAAGAGGGCGGCAGCTGCATTAGGCCCGAGACCCCATGGTGCATGAGCATGGAAGCCTTCTGTGATGATCATGGAAGCCTTCTGTGATAGCTACCACCCTAACCCTATCGCTGCAGTCTTTCATCATAGTGAGCTAGCATGACCTATGGAGCGCTAGAAGCAGCCATGAAGAGGAATGTTTCCATGGCCTTGTGGCCAGCTCAGACGGGCTAGGGTTAGGGTTAGGGTTAGGATTAGGGTTAGGGTTAGGGTCACGCTTGGGACGGGTGCGAACACTGATGCCACCACACTGTTCAGTGCTAGAGGCACAAAGCAGGTAGCAAACATGAAACATGGGGGAGTTCACAAAGTCGTACACCAAGAGTTACTCAAAGACCGAGAAAGCCAAGTGTTATTGGTGGAAATATCTAATGGACACACGTGGGAAAAGTTCTATTCATCTTCACCAGGAGCCTTTGAACTTTTGAAAATATGGGGGTCAGATCCACTGCACATTGTGAGGAGGCTTTTAATGCTGAAGTATGTGGGAGGTGTCACCGTTTTTGAAAGTGCAGGCCTGTCAGGCGAGGGCATTGTGCCATTATGGCGTCATGCGGTTGGGAACACTGACACGGGCTGGGCTTGGCAAGGGGCAAATAGTGGCCGCTTCCATGAGAGCCGTGTGAAGGCTCGGAGACTCTTAACTGTAAATTTACATCGCCCGTTTTTCTTTCAGGGTTCGGGAAATGTGCCTTTAGTCACTGCTGCTCCAGTAACAAAACAGCCGGGCAGTTTTCTTGTTATTCAGGCCCATTATTCCTATTTTGACTTATTATTTCTTTTACTTTTAATGAGTTGAGTTGCCACTGATGCCCGATAACAAAAGTTTCGGAAGATGTTTCAGGATTAATCACCATCACATCCTATGACCATCAAGGCTTGACATTTTTGTGGCACTGCGAGCGATCGGCTTGCGTCTCTATTGCCATAAATCAAGTTGGCAGTTCTGAAAGTGTGTCTGTTGTAGTGGTATGATTCCAAAGCAATATTGTACTACTTGTATTGACAATCTGTGTGGAAGTGATGAAGACAGAAAGTAGATGGGCCGCATTAACAGGAAAGGCTCCGAGCTTGTGGCCGAATGCTCCCCTCAGAGTTGCTGTCATCTTCTGGGCATCATTAGGACGTCATTAGGAGCATGATGCTGTGGAACAGCAGTATCTAAACCTGGTTGCCAGTGCAAATCTTAGTACAGCTTTGAGGCTGGATGTGCAACCGGCATAAAGGCAGAACATGGGCTCCCCCTGCCTTGCGTTTAATTGGAAGGCATCCTCTGTAAATCGACTCCTTCCTTATTAGCTGAACGCCAGACTTTCGCTGTTGAGCAAGTGCCACTTGATTTAATTCACCATGGCTCATTAGTCCACGCTTCCACGTTTCCGACAGGCAGTGGGCAGCATCAAAGTGGCCCTTTACCAGACGACATGCAAATTGATGTATCGTTTGGGAGTATCTGTACTAGGCCTTATGTCTTCATGACTCACTAACGGAGCCTCGCCCATCACTGACTGAAGTACCATCCCATAAATCACTATTACAAACACTGGGCTCACGACGATACCCTTGGTCCTCCTGACTAGGAGAAACTGTGTAACTAGAAGATCTGGGCCTCGGTTTTTAATCTGACCTAAGAGCTCATAATGTAAATTCATCAAATGCAAATCTCATGAAATTCACTTCAGATGTTCTCCAAACAGAGCATCTGCAAACAGCAAATCAGGTAAAAATAGACCGAATAAGCAAGGAGAGGGTAAATAGTGACCTGAATTTACAGACATTTACAGTGCTGGTGCGGTTAGTTATGCACGTGCAGAGCACATTTTTATAAACAGGAAAACAATCTGGAATAAAATGACATCTAGAGTTATCCTTTGGGTCCCCGCTGTCCTTTGGGTCCCCGCTGTCCTTTGGGTCCCCGCCGTCCTTTGGGTGCCTGCTGTCTGTAAAAAGTCACATTACTTCCCGAAAGCCTCCTCCTGATGGCCCAGGGTCCCAGGGACAGGGGACAGCCAGGCAGGCCTATGATGTAAGAGCAGTCCAGCTCTCCATAGCGCCATCTGCAGGGCTATCAAAGAAGCACGAAGCATGATCACACGTGATTCCCATTAAAGTTGATTGTTGAGATTACGGTGAACTGATTCCCATTAAAGTTGATTGTTGAGATTACAGTGGACTGATATCCAGCAGCATTCAAGTGATAGTAGCATGGATGTGATAATAATAAAAAGAAGAAGAAGAAGAAGAAAAAGAAGAAGGACAATTGTAGCTATTTTTACTATTTTTATTGTTTTTTATTGTATATACAAACTGGGCAGGTGGTCAATCGGCAAAACCATTAAATGAAACGTTCCTAATCAGTCGTCATTAATGTCAATATGCATGGTATGAGATTTTATATACTGTGTGGTTGCTGTCACCTTCAGCCCTCCATAACCACACTGACTGTGTTCTTGTCTCTATTTCCTTTACAGAACACGAGAAGCACCGTTTATGTAAGAGTACGGACTACATGAATTTGCACTTCAAGGTGAAATGGTTCTATAACGAGTATGTACGGGACATACCTGCCTTCAAAGAGTCTGTGCCGGAATATTCTCTGTAGGTATCCTCCAACCCTCCACACGTACCACACTGCCCATGCATGTTTGTTTGTTTGGTGACATTTACCTCAACACACTGAACGTTCTGTAAATCTACAGCTAATATCTGCCCAAGAGCACCACCCAAGGCAGTACTGTATATTACAGTAAGACTGTAACACTTGTACGCGCACTGCCAAACGCTCTGTGAATTCCAAACAGTTTAACAGATTTATGGTGGTTTTATTCATTAAAATGGTCTTGGTTCTGTCACATCCTAGTTCCAGGTAATGTTTATAGAGCAATTGATTTCGGATCTTGTTTATTCATATTTTTTGACATTTTAACATTTTATCAACCCATTGCAGTAAGATATTAATATTCCACACCTTCTCAAGGAACGGTGACTACTGAACTGCATAAAATGAAAATCACTTCTTAAATCGAAAGTGTTTTGCTTTGCAGATGAATATAGTTATTCTTTGAGAGAGTGAAAGGCTCCTTAATTATTAAAGCCGTTCCAGAGCCGGTACTGAAATGTGTTCAGTACTCCGCAGCTCAATCCAGCATCAGTGTCCAGGTGTTTCACCCCTCCCTCACACGGGGGTCAGTAGCTGCATCTAGCCAGCTACTGAAATCCACCTGCAGTGAAAATTTGTCGGGGGGGTACTTAATACAGGTGTGGTGGGGCTAAGACCTGAGAGATGCTGGAGGGCGAGCGAGCAGGCGGGCGGAGCTGCAGGAATGTGGGCTCTGGAAGGTCATCTCCTTGGCTTGCTCCTCCTCGTCACTCCCTCTTACACGATGGCAAATCGTCTCTCTACAAATCGCTTAACGAGGCAGCTGACAAACGAGTTTCTGCCGGCTGCATAAAACAAATATGGCTGCCATGTCTTCTCCTCCAGATGGTTTGAGCCCTTTGTCATTCAGTGGCTGGATGAGAATGAGGAAGTTTCCATGGAGTTTTTGCATGGGGCTCTGGAGAGAGACAAAAAGGATGGCGTGAGTAACCATTTACCCAAAAACTGTATTTGGCAGCATGGTGGGGGGGCTAGTTGGAGCACGAGTGACACATCCAGAGGCCTGGACTAACAACCTTGGAATCCCGCTGTGCCATACATATTTATGAAGTCGCTGTTGCAGTTCTGCAAATTCAACTGAACAACGTGGAAAGGAAACTACCTAAGTGATGCAATCAGAACACAAGCAGCCGCTAAGATCTGCTAATTACCAACCATGTTTTAGTTTAACCATATTTTAGATTTCACCTTACAATACAGTGCGTGGCACCCGCCTGTTTGCAAAATGTTTTGACATAATTTAAATTACAACATGAAGAATTAATGGTTTCTGCGGGAGATGTGCGTCTGCTGCTCTGATGAGGTGCGTCTCCCTGCCGCTGCCTGTCTCCGCAGTTCCAGCAGACGTCGGAGCACGCGCTCTTCTCCTGCTCCGTGGTGGACGTCTTCGCGCAGCTGAACCAGAGCTTCGAGATCATCAAGAAGCTGGAGTGTCCGAACCCACAGGCGCTGGCGCACCTCATGTGCCGATTCGCCAAGGTCTGTGGGCTTGGCCGTCAGACGTGGGACAGATTAGGGAGGGGGGAGATTCTAAAAGGATGCAGAGAGAAGAGCAGATCATCGTGTGACGCTTCAATATCATGTTTCAAGTGAGGAAAAAAAAAACTAATTTCTCTCAGAGAATGCGCTGCATTCACAAGCAGCGCAGATATACGGCATGGGTAGGGTCCATTAGAACACTCCCACACTTTGGCCTGTGGCCGGTTTATCCGACTGCAGCTCTGCAGGAATCACCAAAGATCAGTCACCCTGCAATGTTCCGGAAGCATTTCCCAGGTGACCTGATTCCTCCGCTGCAGTGTGGGGGGAGGGGGGAGAAAAATCCCAATTTCCTGGATGGAAATGTTCTTACCCTCCCCCCAGCTAGGTTTGCGCCCGACAACAATGAATGACAATATATGGAGCGGTAAGGTCAAAAGGTCTCTGAGCAAGGTTAGGGATCAATAGTGTTTAATGCATTTTCCCGACGGTGGGATACTGTCATATATCGTTAAGGCTTTGGATTCTAAGACATTTCGAAGAGGAATGTCCAATCTTTATGACAAAGTATTAGGCTGGAGGGAATAATGTTATATTCATTAAAGTCCATTTGTGTCCTTCTTCATATTGCACATTATATATCATGCCACAAGATGCTGTTCTGTTTTTTTTTCAGGTTAGCGATTTACGATCTCTGACCGTTTTCCGCTGATGGCTCTACAGACCTCATTATTTCATCAATACCATCCAATTGGCCAGGAAGACTGACCATTTCGAGGTTCTTTACCTTCTTTTTCTGTTCTTTTTTGCATGCAGACCATCAACAGAGTTTTATTACAATATGCGGCAATCATATCAAAGGACTTCGGCAACTATTTGGACAAGGAGAAGGTGGTAAGTGTGCTTCACACCTGCAGACAGACGTCAGGTCAGGTGTGCGAACCCCACAGAGCAGGGAATACCTGGATAGTATAGATCAGTGTTTCCCAACCCGGTCCTCAGGGACCCACAGACAGTCCACATTTTTGCTTCCTCCCAGCTCCCAGTAGTGGACTGTCTGACAGGGAGCTGCGAGGGAGCAAAAACATGGACCATCTATGCATCCCTGAGGACCAGGCTGGGAAAAACTGGTGTAGATCTATGACCTATAATGACATATCAACTACCCTTAGTATGCAGTTATACTCATACTGCTGTGCATTTTGCTATCATTTTGATGAGGTGAGATTTACCAGGTTGATTCTTTAAAATCAGCAATACATTAAAGGTTTATTTTGCTGGTGGAATCGGTAGGATGGTCTGGTGGGTGCAAAATCGTTTATCCCACCCCACTAAAAATTCATTTGCTAGAAACTCCCTTGCAGGATTTAAGCTATATTATTCAAATTTATTTTATCTTGTTTTCATTGATTTAGAAGGTCCAGTGAATGAATTTAATATGTAACGTAAAATAATATCACAAGTTCACAGGCAGCGATTTGACAGAGAGGCACCTCCTCTGCCTCCTGCTGCCCGTCGCCGGTATAACCGTTTAGGCAGACTCGGTCCCCAAGGGTGACACGTAGCAGTGGCAGCTGGAGGCGGAGCCACCTGCCCGCAGTGCCAGGTTCGGAACAGAGCCGACTTGGCTGCGGCCCAGAGATCTGACAGCCTTGTGCTGTCTTCCCCAGCCCTGCATCCTCCTCAACAACATCCAGCAACTGCGCATCCAGCTGGAGAAGATGTTCGAGTCCATGGGAGGAAAACAGGTCAGGGATCCCGGCTGCGCTCGCCTGCCCTTTTGTAAATGGCTGTCCCCTTCTGTACACTGTAGTTATAACTGCACTTTTGGCACCTGTCACCTGTCCATTTTCTCGAGCGCAGTCAGGGTGTCCCGACTGCTGCAGGCAGACTCTCTCAATGTGTCTCTGAGCTGTTGTGGTGTGATGTGTCTTGTGTTCATTTGTCTCCCTCGTGCTCCAGGAGGAAGGAACAGTGTCCTTCTCTAAGGTCTGTTCCAAGGTGTCACCGTTACCCCGTCGCCGTTACCCCGTCGCCGTTACCGATAATGCTGCGCGCACGTAACCCCACTAACCCCCACCATAACACAAACCCTCTTCATCCTTTTCCCAGCATGTGCTGAGATGGCTTCTGTTGGGGGGTCCTGGTTGTCATTAGGTATGGGGCTCGTTCCTCTCGCTGAGCCCCCACGGCTGGCCCCCACGGCTGGCCCCCTGACACGGCAGCCGCTAGCCCACCCAGGGACCCTGTTCTGTAGTTGCCAGGGTGGCACCTTGCTACCCACAATCAGCCTCCCCGACACCTCCAATTAAGAGATGGTGAGATGTGGGCTCCTCCAGCCCCACGAGATCTCCAACTGCTTCCAGACGTTCCCACCTGCTTACGACATGGATGCCGGAGTTAGCCGGGAGCCAGGGCTCTACCAGGGTCTCCTTAGCTCCAGGACACATGGCCCTTTGACCTCTGTGACCTCTTAGTTACACGGTCTGATCATGAAACAAACTGGAGCGTTCTTCTTCAAGTCGGAAGCATTTACAATGGCCCGCTAGCGATACACAAAAAAACGATGACTGAGCACTGCCTTTCAGTCATTAATATATTCATGAGTGCAGGTGATAAATTTTTAGAACCCCACTTGTTTTTAAGAGCTTGAATGCGTGATGGCTTTGGGCCAAGCTGGCTGTGATCCAGCCAGGAGCTGCCCCTTAAGCTCAGTCGTAGGAATTGCGGCACCACCGAATGCCCAATACATTCCGGATGCCTACCTTCATAGAGAGTCGTCACCCTGTGGATGAATATTCCTCACCTCAGGTACAGCTCACCTCAAACAGCCAATAAAAATGCCAGATGTCGGGGCACAGAAGGATTCCTTAGGGGTCTCCCTGGGCATTAGACCTTCAGGACTGCATCATATTCCCACCACACAACCCATTAAAAACGCTGAGGGCCCTGAAGTAAAACCAGGCTTCACCATCACTCACGTTTTAATGAAGAATTTGAACAGCTTGTAAACTTTGCATTGATTGTTTACCAGAATATCCACGGCTTACCATAATTAATTTAAGTAGACTCCGTGCGAAAACAATCACACTTTATGACTTAAATCAATAAGGCACGGAGGCTTCAAAACTAGGTCTGTAACGAAAAACCGCTTAGAATCGGAAATCTGACCAAAGTGTCTGAGTTACAGCTGGATCGATTCAAAACCCCCAATCCGGGTCAAATTTAGAAGGAAATCGGCCAAAAATTGACAAAGCCATCAGAAATTGATACCGCCGTCGCGTTACTGTTACTGCAATGCACGGTACTGTTTTTTCATGCCAGGAAGGTATAATTACTTATGAGTACTCAGAAGTATACTCTGTGCTGTTCTCCGTGATTTATAATAGCGTCATGGTTTTAACTTGGTGTTAAAGCCAGGGCTGATATTTGTGATTGACGTGGGCCCACATGGACGGAGCTGGTTCCCGACGTTCTCCATCCTCAAGCAGAAGGGTGGTCTTCGGAAGTGTCTCTATAGACCTCCGAGACACTGGGGGGCGCCCCATGCTCGGTGAGATTTTATATGGAAGGAATTTGCATGAATGATAATGGACAGGCTTCCATGTGATTTTCATGAAGGATCAATACAGAAGCAAAATAAGGTTCAAGCCAGGATTTGAACAAACTGGATGAAAAGAAGTGTTCAGCAATGAACCTACAGTTCCAGTGCATTTACACTGAACATCACTGGACTCCCTTTAGAGAGAGGAGTGGCTCCCATTAACACCTGATTGCGAAGAGGGTGGGGCTGCTTCATTAACATGCAGCTCCCGCTCTGAGCGCGCGCAGGTGACTCACGCACGCACAGGACGAGGCGCGTAGTCTCACTGCGCAGTCCTCGCTCACTGCGCACACAGCGTAGCGAGGGGGTGAGCGGCAAACAGCAAGATACAGACCAGGTGCACGTGTGGCTACCTTATCCTCAGCGCTAAGGACTGGCATTAAACCAACTATCTGCCCCATCCAAGCTGCTTTCTGACTAATACACACATTTTTTCCATCGACCTGTGACATGCATTAAAAATTGAACTCATTCTCACAGCAAAAACCGAGTGAGCAGTCAAAGCTTTTACTGAACGAAAGAAAAAAGCGGCTCAGTAAGGCTCTGGATTGAACTGCCCCATGCGGAGGAGCGCCCCCTATCTCTGATGCTGGTCCTGCCTACACAGCCATCAGTCTGAGAGCAGCGGTGCACATCTCCCACCCTGTGACCACATCGCCCGCTTGTCTGAAATCGGTGTCCCCCTTCTCCCAGCTCGACACCGAGGCCAGTGACCTCCTGAAGGAGCTGCAGAACAAGCTGAACACAGTCCTGGATGAGCTGAGCAGCGTGTTTGGGGTCAGGTAAATCACCTCTAACATCTACACCTTCAGAGGCAGATCCATCATCTCATATTTACTTGAGTGAAAGAATGGGCACAATAAACTATAATATACTAATTACAAGATCTATCTAGTTTTAAAAGTGGTATAGTCAGTATTTTTATTATACACACACACACACACACACATTCGATATCCCTTTTCAAATAAGAGATCCCAGAGAGGAATCCCTGGGATGAGAAAGTGGAGGAATTCCAGAGGCTGGCAAGCAGGAGATGGGAGCTATCGCTCAGACACTCTGTGTAACTGACGCCCAGTGTCTGATATCCCTCCTGGGGCTCCGTCGCTCCCTGTACCAGCTTCAAACCCGTCATTGAAGACTGTGTGAAGCAGATGAACCAGGAGCTGGTGCAGATGAAGGCAACTGGAGCCGAAGCCAAGAGCAACGCGGCCCTGGACGCCGAGACCGTGCTCCGGCCACTGATGGACCTCCTGGATAAGAAGTAAGGCACTGCGGGCGGTTCTGGTGCCACGAGCAGCGCTCACCCCTCAATCTAGCATTTTCAGCTCTTCCCACATTCTTTCAGAACATAAATATCCAGACCATCTGGTCCTCACAGCAGCACTGAATCCGGTGGAATATCACGACAGCCTCCTAAATCATTTATGCCAAGTTGTACTGAGGAATAATCAGACATGCCGCCCAGATAATGCCGATACCACACAGGTGTGCGTGATGGACTAATTCTCATTAAGGGGTACATGTTTTACAGCCTGAATGCTCGGCTAGTAATACCTTACGGCATTGATCCCCACTGGCTACCGGATGCGGCTTTACCCCTGAGCCAGGCTGTGACCGTCACCATACAGTCACCCCTCCCGCCGCTCAGTGCCACTGGCGCTGTCTGTAACCGCGGTCTCTGCGCAGCCTGATCCTGTTCGCCAAGATCTGCGAGAAGACGGTGCTGAAGAGGGTGCTGAAGGAGCTGTGGAAGACAGTGCTGAACGCCATGGAGAGGCAGATCGTCCTGCCCCCGCTGACGGACCAAAGCGTGAGTGGCAAGCCTGACCACCCCCCCCCACACACACACACACACACCCCCCACAGGGGACACGGAACAGCGCTCAGTCACGCTTCAGGGTCCCCAGCATGAACACTGAGCAGGTGCCTGCCCCAGAATACAGATCTCGCTGATAACACTTGCATGGAGACCACGCAGTTTGTCTTTGGGAAATGAGGCACACTGCTTTATCTGGCTCTGGCAGATGCTCCCCCACACACACACTCACACGCATGCAGTAGATGTGTGGAGCTGATTGCCATCAGAACATGACAACAGCACACAGCACACAGCACACTAACACAGCTGTATGTGATGACGTTGAGTCGAGTCGAATGCCATCGGCGGTTTGCCTCTGCCGTGCGTCTTTGCTGCCTGGGATAGACTATAACTAACACTGCTACTAACAGGCAGACAAGCCGGATAGATTTTTAGCAGCAAAAAACTTGTTTCTCTCTCTGTTCAACAGCAAGGAGCTCAGATGATCTTCAGCGCAGCGAAGGACTTGGGGCAGCTATCCAAATTGAAGGTACAGATGATCAATAGCCTCCCCCCCCCAAGAACGACGCATGTCTGTGTACAGTCTAGTCACTGCTTGGAACTGAATAAAAAAAAACGAATGTTTATATAAAACGGAAAATGTATTTTAACGAGAGGCTAATAATCCAGACCAAAACTGTCTGAGTTTCCATAACAACCCATCCTGACATTTAGAAGGTTATCATCATCAACACGACGGTCTAAGCCACTGCCAAGTGGGCGACGGCTGTTCAGCAGCTGACTGCGCTGTTACTGCTAATCATAATATAGCAATATTTCTTGTTCCTAAAAAAAAAAGAACGTAATAAAAACATTTAAAGGCATTTAAACGAACAGCTTTTACACTGAGCAGTGTAATCCGCGCTAGATGCATAAATGACAGCCGTCTAGCTGGGTGGCTACAGGCCGTCGGTGGGGCGCATTTAAATGCAGCCCCCCCAGCACGCTTTATTAATAAACACTTAAGGGTGTGTGTCAGAACTCCTGTTTATTTTAGAAATGGGAACACAGAATGAACTAAAGGATGGAGCAAGAAGAGGTGTGTTTCATATAAATAGTTATATTTAAACTGAAAATGTGCTGATATTAATGTGAATTCATCGTGCGAGTGAGCACAAGCTATAGCTCACCGAGCCTGGACTCATCCTTGTGAGGTCTATGTAGGCTGGGCACTATTAACCGGTTCAGTGCTACTTGTAAATTGTACAGTACTTGTAATTTTTAAAACACGCACCGATGCACTTACTGTACCATTAATGCTAACCTACTCCAGCATCTATTTGAAGGAGAGAATGTATTTTCCTCATCTATTGTGTCTGCTTCGTTCTTCCGGCGTCACCTTAGTTCGCGTTTGTCACAACGAAGGCTGCCCTGCTTTGCTTTCTCTAAAGTTTGGCCACTTCATTCTGTCGTTTGAGTTGTTGTGCAGATTCATCCTACAGCTCAAGTCATAAAGTTTAACAGCTTACACAAATAAAACCATCGCGCCAGCTGCTATCTGGAGTGGCCTTGACAGGTCGGAGACATTTTTATTCCACATGGAACTCATTTCAAAATTATTGCACATCATGTTTAAGTAGCCAGCATAAAGGCTATTTTCCAAAACGTTTAAGTGGTTGAACCTTCCGGTGAAACAATTTAAACGATCTATTCTATTTAGTACGCCATGGGTGCCGGTACAGATGCAGAACGATCGGCACGTATATTTACGCCTCCCGTGATCCCGGCCTGACATTAATATAGAGTAATAGGCAGTCTTTGCCCTTACTAATCTCAGCCCAGTCGGCAGGCATACGCCACACTCTAGCACCCGATCGATGGTGCTTTTGACAAAGTGGTAAAACCGTTATATGGGACCTGATCTATAAAAAGTGCCCTTTAAAAGAGAGGAATCGATGGACAGCATCCTTCATCCACAGCTGCAATCTGCGATCACCCTCCCTCCCCTGATTAAATTGAAAATTGCAACCATTGTCCCATAGGTGTGGGAAGCAGTTACTGCATCTGTGCGAAAGTGCACGGCATTCTGGGAATTACGCAGCCAGTGCACTTCATCATCAGAGGGCGGCCCTATCACATGATGCGATTTGTCTGAAGCCAGCCCCCAAGCTGAGGCCACATTTTGGGGAGGGGAGGAGCCACGTCACAGGGGGACGACACGGATTCCCCATTTAATAATTTAGAGCCGTCTGTTTCTATGGATTCTTCTGCAAGGGGAACTTGCAAAGGAGCAGGCAAAGCCGTGAATAACAAGGAGGGAGATTCTCAATCTGAAAGGATCACTCGCCAAGCCCATGACAGAGTAGGAAAAAGGAATCCATATAAATGCCGGTTCTAAATCATCTTCGATCTCTGTACTCATTTAGCCCCAGTGATCAAATGCACATTTACAGTGGCTGCTGAGGGCATTAGTTCTGTACCTCTTCCCACCCTCATGGGGAACCTGTGGCTTCCAGGGTCAGAGAAGCTACTCTGACATGTGCACACGCACCCACACGCACGCACAGCTCATCTCCACAAACAAGATCTACTTCACACTGTGCACTTGAAACACACCTGGCTTTTGTGCACTTGTTCGTGTGCAAACTACCAGTAAAACCTCATAAGGAAAAAAAGCCTATTAGTGGGCATGATGCTTGTAAATAGATCACAGTCCCAACTCAGCATACAGGAAGATGAAGCTTGCAGCTCAAACATCTGGGAGTTGGCCGCACTCTGCTACCACACGCGCTTCCTGTAACGCATTCACTTCAAGACAGAACCAAGGCAAGCTAAAAATGCCCATCTGTGGAACAGACAGAGAATGGCCTGACAGAAGAGCAGATGAGAGCACTCCTACTGAGGCAGAGGCCAAGACTAGAAGGAAACAAAATAAAATCATAGGGGGAAAAAAGAAACTAAATCAAACCAAGCTCACAAAGAACCATCAGAATCGTTTGCCTAGCAAACTGTTTTAACTAATGAAAGAAAAGTCACTACATTAAATAAAGAGAAAGAGATAATTGCTAAAATAAACCATACAACAGCATGAAGGCAAACAACTACTGACTCAGCCAGCCAGGGCAGGGATTCCCGAAGAGGCTTTTTTTATCAGAAACTGACCCGTCCAATCAGGGAGCTGATTTTTCCAACAGCTGAAGCCAGTCTGTTGCTGGCAGGTGAGGTGAATCACACAGATACTCAGGACCTGACATGTTGCAGAGCTGGGGAGCCTTCATTCCCTGATTTTCCCTCTCAATTAATCTAACACATTAGTAATCATCAAACCAATTCCAACAACACAGTAAAAATGTGGTATTTCTTGAATATCTGTATGTATTACAGATTTCCTGACATTAGACCCTCTGTTTGAGACACATGAAGCAGAAGTGCATTGCAAAGTCTTTAGTGCTGGATTTGTGAAGTAACTTTCTGAATTTTTAATCACAATATTGAGTTTAAGAATATGGATGTACTACCCCTGCAAGCCAGACAGCATGCTGGGTCTGACAGCGAGAAGGTGTGGGTGTCAGAGTGAGGAGGGCGGGGTACCTTAGGAACCGTACAGCAGTGATGCCCAGCCCCTCCCCCACAGCCTTGCAGACAGCAGAGACTTTGCTCTTCTGCTTCTTAAATGTTTGTTTTTATTCAACTTCAATTGCGTGATTCAACAATAAAGCAGAGTGGGAAGACAATAAATGCAACATCCAAAGCTATATACCACCCAGTGCACAAGTGACACGGACACACCGGCGCACAAGTGACACGGACACACCGGCGCACAAGAATAAATGCGCACGACAGTATAGGGCACGGCGTAGGCTCGACACGGATGTATAGTGCAGCATTTAGTGAGACAAATCATGATTCAGCACATAAACTTGAGGCCTGAATAGGAAGGTGTGACTGTATTTGGTTGGTTGTCTGTATAGGAACATGTGATCCGAGACGATGCACGGACCTTAAATGCCCGCCAGTGTGCTGCCATGGACCTGGTGCTGCCAACCATCAAGGTACGGAATCCAACACCCCTCCCCTCTCACCTCCATCTCCCCCTCACCTCCGTCTCCGCCTCCCCTCTCACCTCCGTCTCCCCCTCCCCTCTCACCTCCACTGCCTCCCTCCCCTCTCACCTCTGTCTCCGCCTCCCCTCTCACCTCTGCTGCTCACACCTGCCATTGTCATTCATCCTCACGCCAATAGGTAGCATTGGTAACCTGTCTTTTCTCGGGCTTCTCTCTCATTGATCTTATCATGCCATCACTCCCTCATGCAGCCCAGACTTTAAGTGACGTTTTCTAAACCACATTAATGGAGTTCAGAAAATCAGTTGCCCAGAATTGAGTGAAAGACTGGGATTTCTTATTAACCTTCATAGCTCCCAGGCCCATAGTTGGGTAGTACTTTGTACATGCTGATGTAGGTATTGTGGCTAAACATACAGATCTGCCTTTCGTGGTGAGGGTCACCTCTGTGCATTTTGAGACAACTCTTATTTACTGTGTTTTGCAGCCTTGCCACTCTAGCTGGTCTGTAATTAGGAACTGAAAACAGATTGTCTTCAAATATCACCTTGATTAAAGCCAACAAACGACACCTTGATAGTCCTACAATCACTGAGATTTGTGACAAGACCCTCTTTATCAGTATTCCAAAGAGGAAAGCAGGAAAGTTAACGGAAACGTGCCAGACGGAAAGGCACTACCTGCTACATACTGAAAAATCCTAATAATTTTGTTTAAACAGTAAGATGCTGTAATAACAGGGAATGACAGAGGCTGCACAGGCTGTCGCGTGGGTCTGACAGCCACTATCACATGAATACCATGAAGGTCACCTCTTTTGGATTAGATTTTAAGTTTTTAATCTGTTTATACTGAGGTCACGATATGTTCAAAATCAATTCAGATAAACACCAGGGGCATCCTTCTCAGAGATATGAACTTGTAACCTGCTGGTTTCAGATTTAATATCATAAGCACCAAGGCACTTTGCTCGTGGGCACACAGCCTTTTTCTGACTCCTTTAGGAACCTGGGAGAGAAAGACTCCGCTGAACACTTTCCTGAATCACAGCGTACACAGGGTGCTTAGTTTTATTGCACTGGATGACACCTTAGATGTTAAAGTAAGGTATAAGCCCTATCTGCATCCAAAAAACAGCCCTGGAAACATTTTTAGTGTGGAAAACATGTTACCACAGAGCACACTCAGCCATAAGAATTCCCAGAATGCAACATCAACAGACGTTTTCCTCCCTGCCCAGCACCCCTTATCCATACTGTCAAATCTTGAGATTTTTTTACACTGAGGCCCAGCAGGACGAAAGACAAATGAGATCTGGAGGGAGCTCAGCTCTATCTCCACCATCCCATGGATGGAAAAGTGAGACGGAGACATTAGGGACTGAGCATTGGGGTGAAGTACGGCCAAAAGTCGTGGACAAAACTCACTTAATTACCTGCATCTTCCACTGCCTGTTCTACGCTTGTACATTTGAGAACTAGAGTTTGATTCGATTTGATCCAATATGAGCATCCAGATCCATAATAAACTCTTTTTCTGCCATTACCTGCATCACACTTGAATATTTCTGTCATTACAATATGTGTGTAATATACGAGTTTTAAGAGTTTTTATTGTCGTCACTGTCAGTTCTCTTCTGCTGTCATGGAATCAATCCATGCTGAGGCTTGTCAGCTGGAGAGTAGGTGTCAAGGTCTTTGACCCACTTGTTTCAAACACATAATGCTGAGTTTGAATGGAGGCTGTCTGTTTGACTCTTTGTAGCAATACTTCCACGCGGGTGGGAACGGCCTAAAGAAGACATTCCTGGAGAAGAGTCCAGATCTGAAGTCTCTGAAATATGCACTCAGCCTTTACACACAAACTACAGATGCCTTGATCAAGAAATATATATGCACCCAGACCTCCCAAGGTAGGCCTTCATATACGCCACTGAAGAAGGTCAGGTTTACCTCAAACTCCAGCATAAATGATGTATGTCTGTGTATCTGGGGGAGGGTACAGTTTGAAAATGTCAAATCCCCCACATTTGCTGTATTGAAGGTGGAGAAAAGGCCTTCTGTGTGAAAGAGCAAAAGTTTATTTGGAGGGTGAGGATATGGATGGTGTGGACGATGACCTCAGGCTTTGGGTACGTCCAGCCCATCCAGCATGAACAGAGGGGTCAGTATCTGTATTCCCTGCTCAGCTGTGATCCTTGGAGGCATCCAGTTAGTCTCGGGAAGCCCAGGTGAAAAGCCATGAACCAGAATCAGCAGGGTGTCAATCTGTACTGCTCCATACCGATGGATGCAGACTGTCCTCAGATCAGAATCCAGAAGGATTCTAATACGAGGCACCATCCATGCTATTCCAGCTGTGGCTTTCTGCATCTGGACAGCTGTTTGGGCAAGCCAATGTGAGCAGGGAATTAGAGGATCCCAGCAACAGATTCTTTGTCAACGACAGACACTGTTTCGGACACCAACTCCTATTTACTGCTGCCGTACATCTAAAGTAAAGGTGTCAGGTTCCTGGAAAGGGAGCTACAGTTGGGGCGATTCTGACCACTCAGGTTAATGTCTGGTAGAAGGACAGCAGCGCCCATGCACAGAGGCTTGTTTCATCAGATTTGTTTCATCAGTCATTAAAATTTGTGTGAGAAATTTGCATGGGATTCTCTGATCAACGTGGGTGTTTTGGACAGCTAGCCATCCTAGAGAAACTACTCTGCTAATCCGGACTTAACAAATCACATGACCTTTTACTGGAAGACAGAGAGGAGCCCCAATTTCTATATCTATTATTCCCAGCTTTTTTTGCTCACTCAAAGCCAAACCAGTTTGCTTCTTTTCCGCAAGCCTCTGGTTACCGGTGGTTGTGTGCTGAGGCACCTCTTCTTTGATTCAGCACGACATCCCAGCATGCACTGGGTCTTCCGGGCCCACAGTCTCCACGAGACTTATCCACAAACTGCTGAGCACTGAGACAGCAGGGGTGTTCAATGAGACAACCTAAGTATTTCCTTTACATTACAGTGAGTTAAAAGGCCTTTTAATTAATCATTTTCTGGCTGTAATATGAATATGATCTGTAAAATGTTTCGTTTTTCTATTTGGCATCTATTTTGGTCTTGCTGTGATGGCTGAAACGTGTTGGAGGATGAAGCTTGGCACGCAGATTCCCTCATCCGCCAGCCTGCTGCCACAGGCCAACTACTGAGTGTGTCAGGACATCAGGGAGGATATGAGATGAACACACATAATGCCCTCCAACTGCACTGAATATTGCTAATCAGGTTTTGCTCTAATGGTCTTCTTAAGATATCGGTTATCAGTGCCAAAAGGGAGACAACTATATGGTTTAATTCTCATCAGTCTGCTTTAACATCCCCCCTCATCTCCATTGCACAAAAATACTGCACACAGCAGGTATTCCATTTACAAGTCCCACCCCCAAAAAAATGAAGATTAATTAATACAATCTAATGAAATGTGTTTTGCTGCGAGGTAATTAACTCAGAGATAAGGCTGGGAAAATTAAATTTCAATGTGAGCTCATATTTCCCATGCAATGTATGTAGGCAAGCTGAACCAAACATTCAGAGACGTGAAGATGTTCCGAAACGAGGCTAATCACCGGAGCTGCTTCCACAAGTACACAGCAGAAATACTGAGTAAATACGCATGCAACTGTAAGGGAGAAGGTACTGAAAGACGTTAAATAAAATAAACCTATCCTCAGCAGCCGTTCTTGCATTCTCCCCGCGTTTCGGAGCTGCATGGGCCGCTTTGATCTGTTGTCACCGCTTCTCCAGCACAGTGCCCACGACTCCCAAGTCTGACCCGGCTGATGATGGAAGATTAAAGGATGACCAGGCATCTCTCTCCCGGCATCTTCCACGTTATCTGATCCCTATCAGTCGCTCGCTGGCATCCACAGGCCGACAGTGCCGAGCAGCCTGTAATCATCATGGAGGCTCATGAGCTCTAATTAATTCTGACCGCAGTTGTGTGACTTTGGGCCTTGTGTTTTTTTTTTTTTTTTACCCATAATGACTGAATTTTATTTTTCTGTCTGAAGCTTCTTGTGTTTATCCTCATAACAGATGAGCTTTCATGTCCTCCAGCACTGACCCAGGCCACAGATTTAAACGTACACTAACCAGATACCGCTGAGCACCACTTTACACACCGGGGTGCAAATGTGGAGCGTCTTCACGGTCTAACAAGCCAGAACGGCGCTCGGAGCACGCTCAGCATCATGGCGACACAAACACGATAAGATCATGGGAGAGCATGTCAGACTGTTCAACATAATATGACAGATGGCTACCTGGAAAAGGGTTTTTACAGCAGATTTTGAGAAGGTCAGGCTAGATAATATGCAACTCTAGATCATGGCTGGTGGTTCAGAAATGGGGATGGTCTTGGTTGCAGTGGTGGGCACAGCTAACCAAAAAGTTAGCTTCGATAATGGGTAATCGGCGAATTCCAAAATTTAATTCAATAACGCTAAACCGAGTTTACTAAAAAAAAAATAGCAGAAGCTAACAATAACCCTACCCAGAGAGCTAAAATTTAACCCATTTAACACTCTAATCCCTCTGTTGGACTAGAGTGATTACCAGAGGATACTTACTGTAGGACTTACCCAATTGGATATCGTTGGATTCTGTAGAGTCTCTGGAATAAATCGGCGTTGAAATGTTCTTTCTACGATATTCTGTTTGTAAGATATAAGCGTTTTTGTCAGAGAAGCCCTGTTTTGCAACTGGCCCATGCTAACATTTTGCCCTCAGTGAAGCCGATTGGAGACTACAAACATGGCGCCGTTTACACAGAACAAGGAAGGAGGGTCTCAGCTCTTTATTAATCTATAGTGCTGTCAATCAGAATGCAGAAATACAACCAAGGGCCTGTATCACAAAGCAGGATTCTTGCTTAGCTGGATAACTTGTCAGATTTAAGGTAGTCTGGGCTAAAGTGAACAAAGATAAAGTCCATTTAAACTAGGGTACCGTAGTCAGGCAACAGCGTGCCAGATAGTCTATTGTAGAAACGTTCAGGAACAAATATGTACGATTTTAGGATTTAGAAATGTTTTTGACTGTTAAAGTTTATTCATTTTACCTGTGAAAAAACTGTTAGCAGATTTACAGTTAGTGGAACTAAATTTAGCGGAAGCTAATTGGTCCGCTATTAATTTTCAAAGGTGGTGGAAACGCTACTCCGCTAACAAAAAAGTTAGCGTTGCTAATTAGCAGTTAGCAGAACCTTGCCCACCACTGCTTGGTAGACAGAGCAGGAGAAGGTCCTTCCATTGCCATGAAGCTGGAAGTCTTAGATTTGTGCTCCCCCAGTCACACACAATCCATAATTTGAAGGGCGGCAGAACTCTTTCCCAGTACTGGGGGGCTGTGGCCTAAGCAGGGTTTCAACTGAACTAAAAAACACCAAACGGATTGAGTTTGTGTCCTGATTTTGCTACTGTTGAATCCAATAAGTGGTATTATCTTTGGTAGCTGAAACAGTTTTTCTGCAGTATATACATTTCACCTCTTTTTGTTCGGTGTCATCTTCACTTGACCAAAATGTGTCCAAACGACGGACATGGCATTTTCCTTTGGCACCAGTTGCTGGAGTTGCTCAGTGGGCTCGGTGTTTGAGTTCTCCTCCATGCTGCTTCCATGTCGCAGACTGGATGGGGCGGAGTCATGTGACAGCATGCGTGGTAGTATGTTTTTAAGGGGATAGTACATGAACACACTGGGGAAAGTATTAACAGATTTTTTGAAAGTATTAACAGAATTTTTTAAAAATGACAAACCAACATGGACAAGATTACGTCAATTAGAGGTTCTGAATGTTGGTTTTGATTAATCATCGATTAATTGCCCAGCCCTGGCTGGTAGCCCCTCGTGCCCGTTGATCCGTTTCAAGGGGGGAGGGGGACTCAATGATTAGGTTGGTGTTCGCCTACAAGAGCTACGGTATGGATTCTGGAATGCTGGCCATTTATAACCAACAATTATACAATTATACAATTATACAATTATACAAGGTATCATAATATAAACTGCTCCAGCTAGGAGACATTCACAGTCCTCATATCAGGAGTCCTCCATACCAGGGGTCCTAAGGGTGCCAATGAAGTCCACGAAACATCCTCCACATAGAGCTTTGTAGTGTTTATTGTTCTGCTGCTACAGTGCGAAAGTGCTTGGCTCAGTTTTCACGAGGGGATACGTGTCATAGTCATCACAGTCTCAGAAGACTCTTGGCAGGATGTAACCAAATACATGTCTATCTTCCATTCATGTTAAAGGTAACTGCAGTTTGGTCATCTTCTCTAGAAGGTGTTGTTTAAAAGTCAGTGGTTTACAGTAATATGCAAATATTCTTAAAAATACGGAAAGTCAAGTATTTTTGTATATTTCTATAACTAAAAAAATACTGCTAGAGATGTTTGCTGCAGAATAAATTTTAATAGCTTCTGTGAGGAATATTGTCGTGCTGTTCCTTTTTACTTGCCCATCCCCTAGAGAGCTAAGACCTTTGTCCATTATTAAGCAATTTTATCGTTCACTGCATTATAGTAAAACATTGTAATGATGTAGGAGATATCTGCACCAATTGCCTGTGAATTTCTTGACTTTAATAGCAGTTCTGTGGAGATATTGGAATCAAACTGAACTGAGTGTCCTAACGTCACCTAGGACGTGTATTTTGGTTTGCTGTTGGAGAAGGCTTGGCATGGAGAACTCTTGGCTGTGGGTCACTATGATGATCAGTCATCAGACTCAAACTAAATGAATGTTGTACCTCATAATCAGAGGGATGACCTCCCAGTTCACTCCGCTGTGTCAGACCAGTGATTCATCTTCCTGAGCTCCACGTACTGGTTGCATTTTCTCTCCAGCTCAGATTTCCCTGCATTATTAATTCATTTAATTATTGTGCTCTTTCGGAAACTTCAGGGGACTTGTCCAATGGAACGGTGGGGGAGGTTTCTGTTCAGGTCGATCTCATCTCCCATCCCGGCAGCGGCGAGCACAAGGTCAACGTCAAGGGTAGGTTTTGCTACCGTAAAGACGACTTTCTCAAAACAGATTGTTCTTCTCAGTCGGAAAATGGCTTTCCAATTAACTCTCGACATAAAATCATTTCCAGACAGTCATTTCATTGAGCTGGGAAGTCATTCACCACAGGCATGCTGAATCTTTTGTTTCACCTAATGCCACTGTGCAAGCACAGCTTGGAAATGAGGAAAGCAGTGTGAATGAATGGAGTGAATCGAGCACCGTGAATGAATGGAATGAGGAGAGCACCGTGAATGGACAGATTGAGGAGAGCACCTTGAATTAACAGAGTGAGGAGAGCACCGTGAGTGAATGGCGTGATGAGAGCACTGTGAGTGAATGGAATGAGGAGAGCACTGTGAATGAACAGAGTGAGGAGAGTGAATGGAATGAGGAGAGCACTGTGAGTCAATGGAATGAGGAGAGCACTGTGAGTCAATGGAATGAGGAGAGCACTGTGAGTCAATGGA